TACACACTCACATCCACAACACACACATGCTCTGTCCCTTCCACTTACCCCCAGAGACCCTTCCAGTCTCGTGTCCAGCAAAGCAGTAGACTCCCACAGCAAGCAGCAGAGTGGCAATGATGTCGGTGATGATAATACCTGCCAGGGTGGCTGAGTCCAGTTCCACACAGTTCTGGCACACTGTGTGCGGAAGGGAAGTGAGAGGAGAGATGAAGAGTCTTCAAGACCAAGGAACCATCTCTGCCTCTTAGGGCTGCCCCAGGATCTCTCATGCCAAGACCCAATCTTGGAGAAAGAGCTCCTGAGAGCCTTGCTACATCCACCTCTAACCTTCTGCCCAAGAAATCCCTGAGGAGAGCCAAGAAGTAGTCTCAGCTCTTCAGGAACTTAAATAAAGCAGTAGGCCAAACCTTCCCCCAACCAAGCCCCTGCTGCTTGCATCATAAGCAGTATTTTTCCTATTGCTCTTTCACCATAAAGCTCGTTCCCACTCTGAGGGCTCCAAAATCTGATTCATACCATTACAAGAGCAACCCAGTTTGTTTAGAGAACAGATTGGCACACCACAGCCCCCTCCAGCTAGAAAGTTCCCATATCTAGAGGCCCCAACCATTTCAACTCAAAGGGTCCAGGAGGCACATACTTCGAAAATATACTTGCAGAATAGTCTCTTTGCTCTTTCGATCATCTGTTGCGTTGCACATGTACACTCCTCGTGGGTCCTGCATGCGTTTTCCCAAATCCAGACTCTTAGTATCTGAGGCCGGTGTTCCTGTTGTTCCCTCTAGCCTTATGATGCTGGTATTGCAGCTCAAAAATACTTTGTCCTCAAGTTCCTTCAAATCTATCTCGAAGGGGCTCACTAAGGAAAAAAATACCACGATTAGAGCCAGCAACTTGGTCAACACCAGATCCCTTGTTCTGCTGAGGCCCATACTCAAGAAGAGCCACTTTCTAGGTCTAGAACAGTTCATGGCTTCTAGTGAGAAAGATGGAAGTCACAAAAGAAAGGCTTCAGCAGACTCTGCATGAACTTCAGGGGCCAGGAAGGACACAAGAATGCAGTACAAGAGAGGCCAGGTCCTCATGGACATGGAGCAAAGGAGGAAACCATGGAACTAGTTTGATCCAAGAAACCTCCTGGAAATGTGTTCAGACCACTGATTAGAAGTAGGAGGAGAGTCCAGACTACTGAAACACTCAAGAGATAGGGAAAGCAGAAGAACCGTCCTCAGTTGGAGATGTCCACATTTTTTCTCCAAGAAAACTTCCAATTCTATTTCCCAGCCACCTGCAACACTCCCATTTCAACTTCTCATCCTCTTCCCTCTCCCTCTGCCCTTGCCCCAGTCACTCCCAAGGGAGTGGGACTCTCACTACTAGAGCCTTTCCCAGGGCCACTGATGGTTAGAAGTAGGGGGAAAGCTTATATGAATTACCAGCCCAGGAGTCCAGAAAGAGACCGAGGGCAAATCCCATGTAAAGATTTTTAGTTGTTCTATCCTTCTTAGGGAATGGGGGAAAATTTTTTTTTATTGAATCCATGCTTGGGTGCCACACAAGTCAAGTCTTGTAGGGGAGTTTAAGGGCTAGAGGTATGCACAACACCTTTCTAGATCCACTGAATTGCTTTGACTGAGAGCATCTCCACGGCCCGCAGAGGCGCTGGAATCTGTATCTCCAATCCCAGGGAAAAGTGGAATCTACATTCTCTGTGAGTTTCATAGTCAATTACCAATTTGGATAGATGAGCATCCTCTAGAAAACCCCCAGGATAGCTGTTTCTCGTGCCTCTGTAGCCAGTCAGAAGAATATGCATGTATTCTCAGGGAGACACGTGTACATCAGATGCTTCACATTGTAAAGTCATGTCTTCCTTGAGGATCCATTTCTAATGGAAATCCTGGATGTCCCAAAAAAGCTGACTACTAGGGTAATCATTCATACCAGTTTGCCTGGGGTTGAGGGAATTCCTGGAACATAGGACTATCAGTTTTAAGATCAGGCAAACCAGAATAAGTTGATTGTTCTTTTACCCCAAATCTGCCCTCCCTTCTGTTCAGCCTCAATTTAACTTTTCCCTTAAATCATCCCCCTAAGTGCTGAGCCATGGCCCCAAGTGGTAATATAAATGATGGCCAAATGACCAAGAGTCCTGGATCCCAGAGGCCTTAGAAGGAATAGTGCTCCCATTACCAACCTTAGGCTCAGATGCACACTACTACAACACTTCCTACAGATCTCTGGCCTAAGGTCTTCAGAGAGACTTTCACGGCCAAGATGCACCCCTAGCTGGAGTCCATCAAAGCCAAGAGCCTGTTTCCTAGACCCCTATGCTACATCCCAACACTGCCCTCCTTGACAAACCCGCCTGGTGAATTGAAGCTCGCATTGAGAAGGATTTTCAAGTGGATCTTACTCCAGGTGCTAATGTCCCTCTCAGGTCCTTCTTCAAGGACCTCCCACCCAGAGAAGCCTTACCTTGGGAGAGAAGGGCAGTCAGGATCAAGCCAGCCAGAAACCTGCTGTGTTCCATCTTCTAGCAGAATTCATCCAGTAGACAGACGCAGGTCACAGAACCATCAGCCAGGGCGAGAGCTGCCCTCCCCCAACTGACTCACGGGTACCGGAAAAAGTAAAGGGTGGGGGAGAAACTAGAAGACGCCAATTTCTTTGCATTCCGCTGTGGGTGATGGGAGACTGCAGGCTAAGTGGAGGCTGGGGGCGGGGTAGAAAGAAAGCAGTTGCAAATCGCTCTTTCTCTGAGCTCAGAGCTCAGGGTGGGGTAGAAGGTAGAAGCAGAGAATATGGAAAAGGTTGCCTGGACTTCTAGGTAGCAAACAGAAATTTAGGGTGTCCTTTCCTGAGTCACTGATGAAAAACAAGAAATTCAGAGTTCCTGTCAGCAACATCACTTTATTTACTCACCATCTAAAAACTGCCACTTCTCAAAACCCTTGAGAGAACCTGGGTGCCCCATCCCATAAACCATGCCAGCTAGGTTCCCATATTCCTGGTCTTTCTTAGGACCCTGCCCAAGGTCCTCCTTGGGCAGCCTGGGATACCAGACTAAGTAGCTTCTTATCAGTGGGAAGTTGAGCTTTGGGAGCCCCCTAAAAAGAAATTTGCATCCTGGCTGCCATACTGCCTATCTGCTGGGCCTGGACCAGTCATGGTATTTTTCAAAGCCAATTTCCCTCAGTATCATGATAAGGATTTGAACAGAATGTTTGCATGGTGCCTGACACATCATATGTGCTCAATAAGAGAGAATTATTAATAGCAATATGATTAACTCACAAGCATAATGGAGCCATCCCAGGAGACAAATGGACTTTCTCCCTCTGAGCTATGGAGATCCAAAACTGTCTTCACTGCTGAGGTTGGACTGTAATTTAACTGGGGGCAGAGATTGTATGTGTCTTGCTGGCTTCTGTGTCCCCAGCATATCAGTATATGGCTTGTGCCTGGCACGGAATGAGAGCTCTGTACATTTTTGTTGATTCACTGAGTGGCTGAGGGGTCTGAGATCCTCAGACCTCAGCTGAGGCCCTAGTCCCTGCGGATACATGGCTTGTCTTGTTGTAATTGTCCTACATATTCCTTTCCAAGCAGGCACCTCTTTAATGATCTCATCTCAAAAGAGCAGTGAAAAATCCCTAGACTGAGGTGGCTTTCTGTTCAGAGCTCCAGCCCTGAGCACCTAAGAGTTCTCATCTAAATTCATCAGTTCTAATACCAACTAGCAACAGGCAACAACTGTCTGAAATCTAGCAACAAACGGTGGTGGAGATGGTTATCTTCCTCATGAAGAAAGGGGCCCAGGCTACCCGCTGCCCAGCACCCAAGGTGCTCTCTGTGCAAGCTGACTCTCTGAGATGGGAATCCAGCACACTCTCCTGCCCCCTTCCCATCAACCCCCATGATCCTCTCCTTAACGGAAAAGCAATAGACCTCTGCACCTGCAGTCCTCCTGACCCCACCCCCACCCCCCACCGCTGCACATGCTTGAAGCAGAGGGTGGAGGCTCTGGGTTCTTGCCTTCTCACCAGCGCCTCAGCTGAAAGGGTGCTGGGCGGAGCCAGGCTAGCTGCTAGCACAGGCTGCCTGGCTGCTAGGGGCTGCTCAGAGCTTCTGCGGGGCAAGCACAGAGACTGATATGGAGCAGGGGAAGCATCTGGCTGGCCTCATCCTGGCTATCACTCTTTTTCAAGGTAAGAACCTCCTAGGGGATCTGATAGCCTAGAGAAGGGCTCAAAGGAAGAAGCCACCAATAGAGAGACAAGAATATTGGGATCCCTAACCCTGAGTTGTCATCCTAAAGTTCAGAGAAGGAAGGGCAAAAATGAAGCTTCTTACTGCTCTCTGCTAGAGAGAAGCAGTGTTCCATGGGAGAGATGGGGTTCTTGTCTCTTAAGAAATCAAAACAGAGGATTTTACTGGCTTGAGAGAGGATCCGGATGCCGCCATTTTAGGTATGAATGTAGCCCAAAGGGCACAGGCCAGGAACCTAAAGAGAAAAGATATGTGTTCCTTAACTCAGAGCTGGGGTTAGGAGTAGGTCTACAAAGCATTCACTCAGTGGGTGGGTCATTTGGTCAAGTGGCCAAAAAATATGGGTGAGATCCTAATCTTAACCCTAACCCATCTATTCGTTCATTCATTCCTTCAAAATATATAGAGCTCCTGCCATCTTCTAGGCACTGCACTGGGTGCTGTTCATAAACAGTTCAACCTTGTGTGAAGTTCTAAGAAAGCTGACTCCTTCCAACTATTTCCATCATGCTTTGATCTATGCCCCATCTCTCCCCATCACACACTCCACCTCGAGCCACACCTCTCTTGTCCTTTTCCAAGACTGTGTCTTTGTTCAGCTGTTCTTTCTATCTGGAATGCCTTTCTCTGTCTAGTGAATTCCTACTCATCCTTCAAGGCAGAGTCAAATGCCACCTTCTCTGTAAAGCTTTCCCTGTCCCTCACCCTTGGGCGAAATCAATAGCTTCTACCTCTTTCATATGCATTTATATAAGTACTAAATTATATTCTAAGTTTTATTATATTAATTACATTTGTGTTTACTTTTTCCACTTCACTATAAACTCTACAGGAGCAGAAACTGGTTCTTTGTAACACCATTGTTTTCTTCCACACTGCTTAATCATGTCAGGCACATAATAGTGCTTGGTAAATGACTGGATTAAATCCAACTGAATTTAATCCCAGTGCTAGTTCTCTATAGTATTTCTACCATGCAATTCTACTACTCTGAGTTTTGAGACAGATCTGAGGCATAGTTAATGGCTAACTCCTTTGGAACACTAAGGATTTCCACAAGAAATGGATCACCACGGTTGAAGATTTTAGAAGTAACTCAGCTCTCAAAGACTTTACCTAATGCACACCCAATCTTTGTTAGGGCTTTAGCTGTTACAGGATCAGAGTCTTCCGCGTTGTACAGGCACTGAGATGTATACATAAGGGTGTTGCCTGTAACCATGCAGAGTTAGCATCAGATCCCACAGGTTAAGGGCACAATTCCCAGTATGACTGCCTCCACTTTAAATGCTAGGCACAAGTTCAGGGATCCCCAGAACACTCACACTTCTGTTGAACTGGCTGCAAATCTGAAGGGTTCCTAGGAATCCCCTCAGGTTTGATAATTTGCTAGAACAACTCACAGAACTTGAAAAAGTCCTATACTTATTACTACAGTTTTATTAAGAAATAAAATCAGATCTAGTCAGATGAAGAGATACATAGGGTGAGGTCTGGGAAGGTCCTGAACACAGAGCTTCCATGCCCTCTCCTTGTGGAATTAGACTACATCACCCTCCTGGCACATTGACATGTTCACCAACTAGGAAGCACCACTGAGTTTTTATTGGGGTTTCATTACCCAGGCATGATTGACTGAATCATTAGTCATACGACTGAACTCAATCTCCTGTCCTCTTTCCCTCCTAGGGCTCAAATCACAGCTCGCTAATCACAGGATTGGTCTTGACCAGTCTCATCCTGAGTCATATCATTAGCATAAACTCATGTGGTCCAAGGACCAGCCAAGAATCACAAAGGCAATCCTATCATTCATGAAATTCTAAGGGTTTAGAAACTCTTCTCCCAGCAACCCAAGACAAAGACCAGACAAATTCTTTATTAGACCACACCCTAAATTCAATTTGGTGATATAGGCTGCAATCCAGAGAAACAGGTATAGATACTGTCACATGGGTTAGGATCTCTCTCCACCTTGGCCTCAAATGACCATGGAAATGATACTTCAGGGGATCTGATTGACTCGATGCCCAGCTGATTCTGTCCCTCTTCTGTCTCTACAGGTACTATGGCCCAGTCAGAAAACGGTAGGGGAGATGGCTTCTTTCTATGCTCAAACTCTGAGAAGGGGGCAGGGTGTAACTCAGTGGTAGAGTGCATGCTTAGCATGCACAAGGTCCTGGGTTCCAACTCCAGTACCTCTGACAAATAAATAAATAAAACCAATTACCTCCCCTCCACAAAAATTAAATTAAATTAAATTAAATTAAATTAAATTAAATTAAAAAACACTAAAGACTATTAAAAAAAATCTCTGAGGAAATTCATGGAAATATGGCTTCCCACAACAGTAGTCCTATAGGAGCAAGTGAACAGCTTAGACGGGATGGGATGATGAATGATAAACAGCAGACCTCTCCATTGTCAACCAAATCAGTGGCCAGGCTTGATCTTTCTGGCAGCTTTCCTGTAGCTAAACAATTTTCTAATTCTTGGAGGAGAAAAAGGACCCTAACAGTAGTACCCTAGGTACTACTCAAAGTATGACCTATGAGCCAACAGCCTTGGGATCACCTGAGAGCATGTTAGAAATCCAGAATCTCAGTCCCTCCCCAGAACTATTGAATAGACCCTGAAATTCCAGCTAGATCTCCATGTGATTCCTGTCCACATTAAAGATTAAGAAACACTGCTCTAATGGTCTTCTCCTGAGGCAGGGAAAATTTTGGAGGCAAGATCCTTAACAGGCATTTCCTTTTTTCAGGAACACATTTAGTAGAAGTGGATGACAATCGAGAAGATGGTTCAGTACTTCTGACTTGTAATGTGGGAGACAATATCAGATGGTTTAAAGATGGGAAGGAAATAAGTTCTTCAATTGCAAGTAAAAATATTTGGAATCTAGGGAGCAGTACCAAGGACCCTCGAGGGATATATTGGTGTGAAGGATCAAAGGCCACATCAAAACGACTCCAAATATATTATAGAAGTACGTATCCCTTCAGATTTGCTTGTGTGAAATTAAGCAGTACTTGCTGTTCTGGTGAGCTTCTTGTCTGGGATGAGTATGGAAAGAGATGCTAAACAGTGATGTAAGAGCCAGTTTTCTTAATCTCAGCTTACTTCTTTTTTAATTTAACAAGGCAGTTCCCCCAACTTCTTGAAAAAGCTTAGCCAGTTCTGCAAGGCCTGGCTCACTTTTGGGTAGGCCCTACAGATTGGAGCAGTCAGCAGTTTGTAAAAACCGAGTTTGAGTGGGTAGAGGAGGCAGGGGACATTATAAGGTGAGAAGCAGCAAAGTGTGGAAGGCAGTTGAGCACAGAGAAAAGGATGTAGTCTTCCTTTTATTTAAATAGTTATTGGTAGTAGGACTACATGGGCTTCCCCAAGACTCCTGGAGGACAGAGGAACATCAAAAAGCACTGAGTTCTTAGTCCAAAGATCTTCTCAGGCAATTCCCTTGCCATACCAATCACAGAGCAAGCAGCCTGCTGCCCTAGACAAAGGCATCACTGCTGATGGGCAGGAGAAAAAAACCCAGAACAACTTTCACAACCTGAAGGATGCCTGTCCCTCCCTTCCCCCACAGTGTGTCAGAATTGCATTGAGCTGAGTTCAGCCACCGTGTCTGGCTTTATCTTCGCGGAAATCATCAGCATTTTCCTCCTTGCTGTTGGGGTCTACTTTATTGCTGGACAGGATGGAGTTCACCAGTCAAGAGGTAAAAGAATGTTCTTAGATGAGAGATGAGACCACCTGGGACCCTCAGCTTCCTTCCTACCAAAACAGACCCAATAGAAGAGACTGAGTTGGCACGTGCTACTGATGAGCATGGCTGGGTGAGGCACTGGCTCTGTAGGCAAGAGAAAAGGACTCTTGGTGTTTTCACAGCATATTTGCCTGTCTCAAGAGCCAGCTTTCTCTGATTTGTCCTCTGTGCTTTCTAAAAACTCTTTATTGGAGAAAAACCTACATAGAGAAAAGTGTATGAATCACATACATATAACTCAAAAGAAACACACACATAAATCCAGCACCAAGTTTAAGAAAGAGAATTAACAGTGTGGTCATGTCCAGTCTCCACTTGGTCCCAAAAGTGACCACTATCCTGACTTCTAACATTGATTAATTTTGCCTGGCTTTGTTCCTTATGTAAATAGGCTCATACAGTACGAACTCTAATTCCTATTGATATTTAATACTGCACTGTGTGACTATAATCCAATTTATTATCCATTCTATCTTGCGTATATGTATATTTTGTTTATTTTTTGTGCAGCTTCAGACAAGCAGACACTGTTGTCCAATGACCAGCTCTACCAGGTAAGGGAATGTGGAATGAAAGAGACATTGCTAGTTAGTAGTGGTAAAATTTGGGGGTCAGGTGGCAAGTTATTTGGAAGTTACTATGCAGATAAGAAACTGCTTAGGACCTACCAGATGATGGCATCCTTAGCCATTTGGGTAGAATGGATGAAATAAAAAGAAGGGTTGAGAGAGACTAAGGTCATTGAGAGAGACTGAGGTCAGGATCTAGTGAGAAAAAGCTGAAGAACACACTGAGAGGGCCACACAGAGAAACTAGATACAGAGCCTCCACCTGCTTGTCCTTTTCCACCCCCAGGACCATGAAGCAACCACTCCAAATACTTGAGCATAAAAAGCACACAATAAATATGTATCAAATTAACTCACAGAGGATGAGGGGAAATGAGCTTATCACTGTTCTGTCCTTTTTTAGCCCCTTAAGGAACGAGAAGATGACCAATACAGCCATCTTCAAGGAAACCATTTGAGGAAAAATTGAGCCCAGGACTCAGAGCAGGTGTGTCCTTCTATACCAGTTAAGAAAGTGCTTTGCACTACCGGCTGCCAAGTCTATCTCCCTTCCCCAAGCAGTTATAAGGATGGGGGTAGGAGGCTGATTGATAATTCCTTGTAGTGGGGGGACTCTCCTGCATTGTAGGGTTTTTAGCAGCAGATGCCTACCAGATGCCAGTTGTCCAGTTGTGACAGCAAAAATATCTCTAGATACTGCAAGTGTCCCCTCAGGGGCAAAATTGCCCTTAGTTAAGAACCACTGGCCTATGTTAACCTCCCAATCAATCAATCGATCGATCAGAAGTTCTGATTCAATCAACCAGAAGTGTCAATCAGGAACCCAAGCAATATTTGGTTTTCTGAACCATTTGCAGTTGTTCTTTTTTCAATCCAGGTGTTTTCTCTACTGATCAGTTCTTAGAAACAAAGCAATATGTTTTGGCGCAGTCCTAGCAGAGAGAATTTCAGCCCTAAATCTATACTCAAGGTTCCCAGAGGTGACAAATGGAGAAGAAAGGCCATCAGAGCAAATTTGTTTTTTTCTCAAAATAAGAGTAAAAACATGTATGGTGTTTCGGGAGCGCCACCTACCGGAAGTAATTTTTCTGTAAGAGAAAAATGAAAAGGTCAAATAAACTTTTGAATATAATTTTTTAAGTTTTAATTTTTATTTACTTTGTATTTGAATATAATTTTTAAGTTTTAATTTTTATTTACTTTGTGTATAAGTCATAGTTCACATGGTTCAAATATTCAGTGAAGGGTTTCCTTCCACTTCCATCCCTAGCCACCCAGGTGCCTTCTCCAGAAGCAAACAATAATACTAATTTCTTTTTTTTTTTTTTTTACATTTTTATTGATTCATAATCATTTTACAGTGTACTAATTTCTTATATATCCTTACAAGATAAAGTATTATATGTATCAGGGGTATTCTAGGCATACATAAGCAAATTCTTAAGTACACATTATTCTCCCTTCCCCTATTTTCACACAAATGTTATCATAATATACTTCTTGTACTTTTCACCTAATAAAACCTGAAAATCATTTCATACTAGTATTTGAAGGAGATTCTTTTTTTCTTAGTGTACCTGCTTTGTACAGATCCCATATAATATATTTAACCAGTCTTCTATCAATGGACAATTTGGTTGATTCCAATCTTTTGCTCTTACAATATCAGAATGACTAACATTGTACAAATGTCATTTTTAAAAATAATTGTATTGAGGTATAATTTACATGCTATAAATTTCACTCATTTTAAGTGGATTTCACCTGTTCTCGGTAATTTAAAGTCAATTTACCCAGTTGTACAACCATGATCATAATCCAGATTTAGAACATTTCCATCAGTCTCTTAAGATCGCCTGTGGTGTTTGCAGTCAGTATTTGTTCCCTTGTTGCAGTCACTAATCTCTTTTCTGTCTCTTTAGATTTGCCTTTTCTGGACACTTCATATAAATGGAGTCATACAATATGCTGCTCCGAACACTTTTATGCAAATCTTTGTGTGGACATATGTTTTCATTTGTCTGGGTTGATACCTAGGAGTGAAGAATTGCTGGGTTGTATGGTAAATTTATGTATAACTTCTTAAGAAACTGCCAAAGTGTGTTTCAAACTGGCTGTCCCACTTTACACTCCCACCAGCGATGAATGAAAGTTCCCGTTTCTCCATCTCCCCACAAATATTTGTTACTATATTTTTAGTATGGCCATTCTAGTGGATGTAAAATAGTATCTTATTGTGGCTTTAATTTGCATTCCCTAATGACTAATGATGTTGAACATCTTTTCATGTGCTCATTAGCCATTCTTATTCTATCTTTAGTGAAGACTGTATTCAAAGCTTTTTTTTTAATTGGGTTGTTTTTCTCCTTACTATTGAATTGTAAAAGTTCCTATATATTTTGAATACAAGTCTTTTATCAGAAACATGATTTGCAAATACATCTGCCAGTATGTGGCTTGTCTTTTTATTTTCTTAATGGTGTCTTTTGAAGAGAAAAAGTTCTTAATTTTGCTGAAGTCTGTTTTACCCATTTTTTTCTTTCATAGATTGTGCTTTTGGTGTCATGTCTAAGAAATCCTTGCCAAACCCAAGGTCACAAAGATTTCTCATGTCTTCCTTTTATAGCTTTTATAGTTTTAATTCTAACAATAAATGTCATTTTGAACATTAAGGCTATTTGTAATGAATACAAATAAATGGGATTGCAGGGCCGTAATGTACTCGCACTTGTAATTTTATTAAATATTGCCAAATTGCACTTCATAGAGGTTGGACCAATACATTCCTAACAACAGTAAACGAGAGTGCCTATTGTTCCATACACATTCCAATGGTGCACTATTAAACTTTTTGAACTTTGCCAATCTGATAATTTTAAAATGGCATCTCAGTGTAGTTTTTTTCCCCCAGCAGAGGTACTGGGGATTGAACCCAGGACCTTGCTCATGCTCAGCTCATGCTCTACCACTGAGCTATACCTCTCCACCCTCTTGGTGTATTTTTCTTATTAAGAATGGGGGTGAACCATTTGTTTTTCCTTCTCATTAAATATAGGCTCATAGCCTTTGATCTTTTTCTTACTGACTTGCAACAATCCTTTACGCATTTAGAAAACTAGAACTTTTGTTTGTGATAGTAGTTGCAAATATTCTTCCAAGGTTGTTGGTTTTTGACTTTACTCATGGTTGGTTTTCAATGCATATTTTACAAATATTTGCATGTAGTGGAATGCACTATTCTTTTATGGCTTCTAGGTTGCTTCATATTTAGGAAGATCTTTCCCCATTTTGAGAGTATTCTTTTTAAAAATTTCTCTCATTAATTCCTCTAGCATTTTCCTGGTTTCATTTTACATATTTAAATCTTTGATCCATCTTGAGTTAATTTTAGTGTAAAGACCTAATACATTAATTAACTTTTAAACTACATAACTACCCATTTATTCCAGAACTATTTATTGAATAATCCCTCTTGTGAGCATTGATTTTAAATGCTACATTACCACTTCACTCTCACCAGATTGTAAGCTCCAGGAAGGAACACTGGTTTTGTTTTTTTGTTTTGTTTTGTTTTGTTATGTTTTTTTCCCCACTACTGTAGCTTCAGGAACTAGCATAATACTGAAGCATAATAGGCACTCTAAGATTACACAGCCTTTGGGGTGTGTGTATGTGTGTGTGTATGTGTGTGTGTGTGTGTGTTGTTAAAATATACATAACATAAAACTTACCACTTTAACCATTTTCAAGTGTAATATACAGTGACATTAAGTACAATTACAATGTTGTGCAACCATCACCACTATCATTTCCAGAACTTTTTCATTACCCTGAAGAAACTATCATTAAACAGTAACTTCTCATTCCTCTCTCTCCCCAGCCCCTTGTAATCTCTATTTTACTTTTTATCTCTATGAATATACGTGTTCTAAGCATCACACATAAGGGGAATCATACAATATTTGACTATTTTCTATCTGGCTGATTTCACTTAGCATAGTGTTTTCAAGGTTCATCCATTTTGTAGCATGTATCAGAACTTTCTTCCTTTTCAAGGCTGAGTAATAATCATGTTTATGCATACACCACATTTTGCTTATGCATTCATCAGTTTGGGTCGCTTCCACCTTGTTTATTATGAATAATGCTGCTATGAACATTGATCATGGTACAAGTGTCTTGTTTGAGTCCCTGCTTTCAATTCGTTGGGGTATTTACCTAGAAGTGGAATTGTTACATCACATGATAATTCTGTTTAACTTTTTGAGGAACCACCAAACTGTTTTCCCAAAACGCTCCACTACTTCACATTCCCATCAGTAAGGCACAAATGTTCCTACTTTTCCACATCCTTACCAACATTTATTATCTATTCATTTATAATAGCCTTCCTAATGGGTGTGAGGTGTTATTTCATCAACGTTTTGGTTTGTATTTCCTTGTTGAGCAACTTCTTAGGTGCTTACTGGCCATTCATGTATCTTCTTTAGAGAAGTGTTTATTCAAACCCACAGCCCATTCTTTAGTTGAATTGTTTGCCTTTCTGTTGTTAATTTGTATAAGCTTGTTATACAGCTTGATATTCGTCATCAGATACGTGATTTACAAATATTTTCTGTCACTCTATGGAGTTTCTTTTCACTTGCACTCTTGAAAAGTATACTGCTTCCTCTGCCTCTGTATATCTCAGTGTATCTCAAAGTCACCTTGACGACGTACACCATCTCTACTTTACAAATAAGAAATCTGCAATCCAGTCAGAGAGAGCATATTGCCTGGCATCCAATAAGAGCTCACAACTTTACTGTTATTGCTACTGCAATCTTCATTGACAATAATAATCTATACAGAAGCTGCTTCAAAAAGGCCTAGGACCCATGGGAAAAAGAGAAAGAGAATCTCACAGATGCCTCGAGCAGTGCCAGAGATCACGGTCATATCGGGTGCTGATACACAGATTTCCAAGGCCCCGTCACATTGCACTGAACTCCAAAACGCCCCCTCCCAGCTCACCCCGACTGGCCCTCAACCAGACCCCAACGCCACTTCCGTCCACTTCCGCCCCGCCCCCAGTAAGCTAGCGCATGCGCCTTGGGATGTTTGCGCGCCCGCTTCCAGAGCGAGGCGACACACCCAGTTTCCGGCGCCCAGATGAGACTCCACAAGGCCTGGCGCCTAGTCGTGACGTAAATTCCGGTTGCCGTGCTGAGTCGGAAGTGGGAACCCTTCGGCCACTGAGATTCTGTCGTGTCGTCGCTGCTGGCCCTTCAGGCTCTGGTAAGAGAACAAATAGCTGGAGGCTAAGGGATCGTTGAGGCTGTAATGGGATTTTTTTTTTCTCGTAGTCGATTGCTAGTCCAAACCTCTGCACTCTTAACCTCCTCCAAATTCCTTCTTCTGTGCTTTCCTGACCGCTGCCTCTTTCCTTCATGAACTTCGACCCTGTCTGGTTTGGGAACCCTTCACAATGGTCCAGCTTCTGGCATCTCTCTCCTTTTTTGCCATTCCCCTCCTGGAAAAGGCCGGAATCCTGGCCTTGCATTATCTTTGGCTTTCTTTCTCTAGAATGTGCGCTGAGTGGGTGGGTCTGCCTCCGTGCTGCGAATCCCTTATGGAACCCGGAGGGATAAAATTTTATAGAGTAGACAACATATAACCAGATGCCAAAAAAGATAAAATTAAACATGAATCGCAGTAATCAGACCAGTCGAATACATATGGCAAGGTGTTGACATTTCTTAAGGCAAGGGATCAGTTCACCATTCAGAACTCTCCTGGCTCTCTGCTCCTTGCTCCCCATTTGGGTTTAGAAGACGTTTCTAAAATTGAGTAACCAGAGGTTAGAAGCTTACATTTGATGGGTCCTCTCTTTGGGATCAGATTTTCGTTCCCAGAACAAGGATGTGTTTAGTCTCACTGCCATGGACTGTTTTGGTCTCACGTGGGAGCCCTCCTGAGATAAAAGAGGACTCAGGAAGGAATGCTTTCTCTTTTGCGACTTGATGAGATCCTTCTAGCTTGCTGATGTGATGGAAGGATCTGTTGCCACAGTAGAGGCCTGAAAGGATTATTGAGTGGAGCATGTAACAGTGAAAACTTTTTTTAATTCCTTTTTCGGTTCGATCTGTGTATTACCAGAAAAGAGGCCTTATGGAGTATGATTTTTAAAAGTTTGATTTTGACAATCCCTGTTTTGTGAAATATTCCAAGTATTTCTGTTTAAAAGCAGTACCAAGTCTGATGTTAAAATATTTATGTGCTCACCTCTTTAAAACCTGACCGTGGTCCTTAAATGATTAACGGTACTGTTTATAAGCAAAAGATTGAGTCAGGGTAGGGTGAGAGGATTTTGTGTGACTGGAGGTAGACAATGATTATAATTATAGATTCTTGCAGTAAGTATATCAGAGGGAAATGTGTTTTTAAAGAGGACGTATTAAGGAAATCAAATCCAGAAGCTTCTAAGGATTGGTGGTTATATCATTCCAAATGCTGACAAACAGGATAGTACTGTATCTCTGAATATTAGTTGAAAATGGGAGATTATAAATTCCCAGTGACATTGAATATTAAACAAAATATTAAGGTTCCATTTTATCAGACCTTTCTTTTGGAATGGGTGACATCTTTTTACATTTGTGAGATCATTGAATAAATCTAAACGGACATCCCCACAAAGGTTCCCATCAAGTGATCAGTCCTCTCTTTTCCCATAAAACTTTCCTATAAATTGTTAGCTTTTTTTCTATGAAAATAGTTTTTGCGCAGATTTGAAATACATATGAAAAAGATGAACTTAGTAAGGTAGGTGAAAACCTTTTTGTTTTTCAAAAAGACATGTAGCAGAGATGACTACAGAGGTTTATTTCCATTCTCTATTTAACACATGCTGAGATACCAAAGAGCCACAAGTGTCTGGCCCAATAGCTTGACCTTCCACTGCAACCCAAGACTAACAGTAAAACCTTTACCTTGAAGTAGGATTATGAGTGCTGCTAGTAATTACAAGGCGGTCAGGAGTAATTACATGTAAGATTGATATCATTCAATAAATATCTATTTGGGATTTCGTGATTGTGGAATATGCCAGACACAGAAGAAAAAATAATCAGATGTGAATCTGTACTCAGATTGCTTACCTTCTAGCAAAATAGAGGATCTACATTAGGAATACAATGTAGAAAGTTATAAATCCTATTAACATAGATAAAATGTAATGGGAAGCTAGCTTTATATAATGGGACAGTATAGTATTGAGGAAGGAGGAAATCATGCCATTTTTGATGACAAATCCTCTATATCTCTTGATAGCCTTAAGGGCCTGTCTGTGTCGTATGTTCTAGTTCTTGGCTTTCAACTTACTTCCTTTTTGCATAAATGGTGCAGGTGATGCATCTCCTTTGTACTAATCTGACCTCTTTTCATTTGTATTTTTTAAAACTCACTTGAACTGGCTTCCACAAGATAGGGCAATCTACTGAGTTTTCACAACTGAGAAGACTCTCTTTCCATCTCGTATCTCATTTCCTATACGTTGGCTTAGTTTTAGGGTAGGCTTTCTCTAGATGGTGGAAAGATGACAACTTCAGGTTCCTATTTTACCAGACTAGCAACCCAAGCAGGAAAAAAGAGTTCCCTTTTCTGGAGATTTAGCCAAAGGCCTGAATGTGAT